CCCCAAAACCCCAAAACCCCAAAACCCCTACTTTTACAATAATAATTGAAAAATGGGAAATAGTCAGAAAAACTCAACTGAGAAAGAATTTAAAGACAAGTATAGAATCATTACCATTAGTAATGGAAAGAGTGACCAGAGACAAGACTTCGAGAAAATTGTAGCAAAGATGGAGAAAATAGCCTCAACAGTCTGCTCGATGGCTCATGGAGAGATCGGAAAACTTTTTGAGTACATTTTTGAAGCTGATGCTGATGATATTATGGACAAGATTATATCCATACAAGGGAAAATTACCAGGATTGATCTTAAAATTGACATAAAAGTCGTTACTGAATGTAGAAGTAAGATTATTAGCTCTATCGCCTTCCTAAAGGATTACCATGAAAACAATAGTAAAGACAGTTTCAAATCGTTCTTTGAGTTGTCAATTCCAAGTTTGCGACAACTTAAAGAGTACATTTCCCTAAATGACCCAAATCCTGCTCTAATGAATTCTTTGACACTCCTCTGAATATTTTTGGAAACCCCTTTGTCTCTTCTTAAATATGGTGCTGAAATAAAATATTTTCACGAAGATGCTCTCAGAGCTATCCAGGAATGCAAAGAAGCTCTTTTTGACGAACAGAAAAAGGTTTATTGATACCTAAAAGGAAACATCAACAGACCTTCCTACTTTGGGATGGAGAGCTATACTCCTGATCTTGGACTTCCAGCTTTCGAAGACACTTGGAATAATATCACAGTCAAGGTAAAATCGAAAGAGGTCTGATATACCTGTAAATACTCTTGTATGCCACACCATCACAAATACGATAAGGCTCGGATTGAGGATTATGTTAGGGAAACTTATCTTCGAGAATTCGTATCTAAACAGTTAAAACCTACCATTGACTATGTAGGAAAGAATAATGATCTTGAAGACTCTTTTGAATAAACTCTCTACTCTGTTTAATTATTTTCTAACCTTTCTGTTCATAAAAGACCTTATGGGGTTTTGGGGTTTTGGGGTTTTGGGGTTTTGGGG